ATGGGGGCATGAAAACCATAAACATCATATAATCATTCCATTTCATGATAATATACAAAAATAGACCATAATAGGATGTGTAGTAATAATTCCATAATTCAAGAGTTCATAAATGATCATAAGGACCCATAAACTTGAAGTAAAATAGAGGATAAATGGTTGGACTTGTGGAAAGGAAGGTTTCCACAATCAACCCACATACCTCAACTTTGGAGAATTCTTGATGAAGATTGGAATGGAGAATTGCTTGAGATTGAATCTTGAATCCGGAATTAAAGCTTGGGATCCTTGAATTTGGTTGATGATCTTGGTGGAATTTTGGAGAGGGTTTAGAGAGAGTTTTTGGATGTTTGAGAAATGTTTTAGAGACTTGGAATGAACTAATGATATATAGGGAATATCATATGCCCTTTTGGAAAAAAAATTGTCCAACACTTAGAAAAATTAATGGGGCGGGTGAACAGTGTTTCGGCTTACTGGAAATGGCACTTTTCTGCCGGCGAGGTTTTACGAAAATGGTTATAACTCCTTCATCCTAACTCGGAATGAGGCGAAACAAATTGCGTTGGAAAGCTAACTCACAAAGCTTTAATTTTGATAGTTTGAGCTCCTTCCAGTTCCTTGTGTGCTGAGAGATATGCCCCTTTAAAGTTGACCCTCAAAATCGCATTTTTTGCGATTTTCGAATTTTGATACGGTTGTTCTAAAATTCGGGTTAGACTCATTTCCCACTCAATTTGACCCCCTAAACAAGAATATGAAGTCGGATTTCCGAAATCATGCACGGATTTTGAGATATATGGAAATTACAATTATAGGTGTTTCCGAAGCACATTTTCGGGCATTTTTGGGGTCGTTTCAAAACCAAAATCCGAAATCAAATTGCCAAAGTTTTCAACATAATTCCCTAAGAAAATACCTAGAACTAAAAGTAATCAATAATGTCTAATCCTAAAAAATGAGGTTTACTTACCCTATTTATAGAAAAACATGTCCTAAACAAAAAAGAAACAAAATAATGAAATAAACTTCTCAAACGCGGCATCAATCGACGACTCGACCTACAGACGGTGGGTCGAACTACGGCCCGTAGGTCCCATTCCATTGGTCAACACTTAGAAATTTTCAGCAGAGACTGGAACCTTCACTCTTAGATCATCAACGACGGACATGCAGGACAGACCATGGTTCGATCCACGGTTTGTGGTTCCTCTTCCGTGGCTCCACACTTAGAACTTTTCATTAGGTACTGGAAATTCAACTCTCTCAACTCATCGACGGATGTGCAGGATGACCCGTGGGTTGACCTACGGTCCATCAATCGCTTCATAGCTCCACACTTGGTCAGAATTCCCTGATGATCCATCCACGCCTGCCTAACGATGGATCGTCACAGGACCTACGGTCCATAGGTCACTCCGTGGGTGGCTACTTTTGCATAATTTCAACTGTCATCTCACTCAACCGCGTCCAAGCCTATTTCTTGATAATATACACATAAAACATTATTTCTAATACAAAATGGCCCTAGACACATATAACTCTTAAGTGAAATGTATCAAAAGTACCGTAAACTCACGGTATATCAAAACCCTCAACTTAAACATGTTGTTTGTCCTCAAGCGACACACTAAAACTCTAAATGACACTTGTGTAGAAGCAGACATTCAAACTCAAGAAATCCCATGGCCATTTCAATCTATTCCATTTGCTTAGTGAAAATCTTTTCTATTAGACTCAACCAACCAACTCATACGAATCAAAACATGACATCGATTGACAAATAGACACCACAACATACACCATTCACCATCACTAAGGTATCAATTTTCCAACAATGTCACTAGTGCCCTCACTTCAAAAGAAATCCTTTTTTACTCACAAGAGATATGACTTTGAAATTTTAGGATTCGTTCAACACTCACACTCAGAAGTGACTTCAAGTACAGTTAGTGCTCAATAACATAGGCCTGCCCTTATTTTCACTGCTTAGACTTTCCAAACTAGTTGCTAGGATCACTATAGGACTTTCTTAGCTTGTAATGTAGGCTCAGGGTCATGTGTGGTACATTTGGGTACTTTTTAGTGACTTTCTTCCCTCCTTGACATTACATTACCTTTTTACCTCTTTTCTCAACCTATATTTGACATCCTTTCATTTCACTTTGTTTCCCTTGACTCTCTTCAACACAAATGTGACTTTTGACTTAATGGCTCTTATTTTTCATTTCTTCCTTTTCTTTCACTTTACTTTTCTTTATTTTTTTCAGCACTTTTGTTTATCATCTTTTTGCTTTTTTTGTGTACAGTCACATCTTTTTTTTTCTTTTCAGTTTCTCTCCTAAACACACAACTCTTTTCATACCCTATTGTTTTCATTTACCCTTTTCACAGCCACCCTCAACTTATGTGTTTAGCATGAGTTGAGATGCACAATATCCTATGTCAGAAGAGGGCCAAGATCAAGGTAACTTTTTAAATTAGCCACCCTCAAATTAGGCTTTTTTCCTAAGTTAAGGTGCACATTTCCAACGAGGGATCGGGGCCAAAATAATTACTTCTAGGAAGGTGAGTTAGGTGAATCGAAAGACATGGTCTATCTTAGGCTCAAACATTTGGGTCAAAGGGGACATTGATTAAATTTGGTTGGATTATTTTAGGCTTAAGTGGACTAATTTGACCAAGGGCTTATGACCACTTCCCAACTTCTAGCCTTGATTATCTTAGCAGAACCAACAGGCCAAGTTCTAGATTAGCACACATTGTATGAACATTCAAGGTTTTCCTCAAACTCACTTGGCACATTATTTTATTATCAAATTATTCGACTACCCAACTCAAGTTTAAGCTGAAGTCATGAGGTCAAATCGGTTCATATCATGTCACATTGAGATCTAGCACATTCGACTTATCAAGCGTATAAATCTAGCACATTTCTTCATTTTTTGACAAGGATCATTTTTTCATGCTTTTCATGTCATCATGCTTTCATTTTTCTACTTACTCCTACACATACATTCCTAAACATGCCGGTTCAATGGAAATTAAGACAGTCTCTTGGGGAAAAAGAACACATGCAAGAAAACTCCAAGACAAGATTATAAGTTGGGTTACTCAGACTTCACCCAATCACTTACAATCCATTTACCCCACCCTAACAAAATAAAGAGCAATTGTCCCCAGTGAACAAAAAAATGTAAAAGATCTAGTGAAGCAAACCTGTGGTGCTTATACGCTGAAGACCACTCAAGAAACGAGTGGGTTCGGTTTCCCGGAGCCCGCTGGATCAACACTTGGATTGAACGCCATCAATAACGCTCTCATCTACTATCCCATCACTCTCAGTAGTGCTCTCATCAAGTCGCACAACACCGTCAGTAGTTCTCACACCGCTAGATGGGCCAATACCTATCTCCCTGGCCCGCAACTATCTGAACTCCTTATCTTGTAACGACACCCTCGTGGCCTTCTCCAACTACTGGCACTCCTTCTTTTTTGACCTCTGGGACTCATCATTATCAGAAGTATGACCGGAGCGAGGGCGCTTCCTAGCAGCACGGGAAGCATCAGGTGGCAGCGTATCATCACTGAGTAAGGCAGTTATCATCACCTCATCGACTGGTGTCGTGGGGGACGGACTCTGGCTCAGTCTCTAGGAAGACTAGTAGTGCATCAACATCAGCACGGAGTCTAGCGAACTCCTACTGGAAGGTGGACACATCAATGGTCGGGGAAGACCTCTCCAACACACGCAATTCAAAGGCATCCAGGCACTTATGAACAACCTTAACCTTCTACTCTATCCTCGCATCGAACGTTGCTATGGACCATCGCATCCTAGGCTTTATGTGCTGAAGTAGGGTGGCCATCCGCGTCTCTAGCTTCTATACTCGGGCTAGAGGGATAGTGGTTGAACTGGAAGAGTGGGTGGCTCTGGAGGAGCTAGGGGCCTGACTGGAGGCCGGAGACGAAGGAACCTGGGCATCCACTGTAGTGGCTGGAGGGGTAGTGTCATCACCATGCATCTGCTCCATATATGCTAAAAGGTAATCTCCTAGAGGTGGAACCTTAACCTGTGGCTCCTTGCGAGGTGCAGCTACATTGGCCTCATCCTGAATCAGGATGATGTCCAGAGTCTTGGTTGCCTGAAGAAACAAGTCACAGTGCCATATTGTACTAGTACAGACGCGTCCCTGCAAAGCTTGAAGATGAGGCACAGGAAGGGCAAGGTGGTGGGGGCCATGAAGTCCCTCTCATGGATCTCCGCATTTAAAATGAGGGTAAAGTCAATCTTGAACCCTGCTACCATAGCTGCAACCATCACCGCGCGGTCCCATTTAACCACATTGTCTGCTTGAGTAGGGGACACACGGTTGCACACCAGCAGCCACAAGAATTTAGCAGTAAATATTGGATCACCTTCTTGATAACCAAGCTCGAGGTCTGGACCCACTCGACGCGCTCTCCATCTGTAGCAATATGGCGGACCAGCCATCTCACAAGAGACTCTCTCTGCTCGGCATTCCTCTAAAATGCTCCGCTTTGAATAATCCTAATCTGATAGTCGAACTCTGTTGTATTGATGGGTAGAGTGTGGTCCGGGCCATAAATAAACTTGCGGAGGGTGGTCTCGGAGATGTCGATAGTAAGCCATCGGAAGAGTGTGGCCTTAAGCAGAGGCTGAGTTGCCGGCTTGGCCCACTTAGAGATGGATCCTCTCATGGTGGCAGCATAGGAAGCGTAGAACTCCTGTACAATCTCCTCACTATATGACCCTGGGCTATGTACCATCCACTCACACTTGTGACTCCGAAAGAGCTCGTGGATGACTGGAGTTGTGTGGAGGCTACCTCTGAGAATTCGACGCTCCTCTGTGATCATTTTGGCCAGCTTATTGTGCTTCTTCAGCATGTGAGCATCCTAGTTAATCTGGAACTGGCCATCCACACACCACATGTTAGTCTCTGTAGCAACCGTTGGAGGCTCAGAAAGGGGGGTCACTATGGTATCCTCTGTAATATCAGAGTCATATGAAGAGGTGGTGTTGCCTTTGGGGCTGGAGCCGATGCTGGAGCTAGATGGGGACTCTGAGCCAGCCGGTGATCCGATAAGTGTGGCCCCCTCATTAGACTTAGGGTAGTGACCACGTCGGAGCTCACCTGCCGGGCTTGGTTTTGTGTAGTATGTGGAGCAGTGGGGGAGGTCCTGGTGGGAGGTGGAACGTACTCCCTATCCGTATCCTCATCAATCAGCCTGAAAGACGGAGTAACTGATTTTGATTTACCCTTTACGGCGTAGGTTAGGGATTGCTTCTGGTACATGGTACATGTGGAAGCTTAGTTAGAACTAAAAAAATGCAATAATACTCATGGAATAATTTTAGAACAATTGCCGAATAAAAACAAAAATAAAAATACCTTGGACAATAGCTGAAATATCGACCTACGGTGGGTACCGACGGTCTGTGGGTCCCCTTCGTAGGTCAGAGTACCCAAAATTATGTCTTTGATGTGGGAACCACGGATGTGCAGAATGGTCCTTCGATGGAACGATGGACCGTAGTCCACACCATGGTTCGACACTTAGTGAAAACTGTGTGCTACTGGCCTACGGACCCGTCCTACGATCCGTAGACGGGGTCTCGTGGGTCTGTTCTGTGCCAGGATTCATATGGTTAAATTTTTTATGCCTTTTCTTTCAACAATTACAAACAACTTAGGCCTACACATGCATTTCAACAAGTAATTTGGTAGTTAATCATCCTTAGGGTTCCAATTTCACAAAATTTTACAGATTATCACACCGAAACTTAGGAACCCTAAGTCAAAACTTCCAATTCGGCCAATTAACATGAACTATTCAGTTTTAATTAACTACACACTCACATACCATCATACCAAGGGTGTTTCCAGCATACAATTTAACATTTAGACATGAAATTTACAACCTAAGGTCAAGTACCAACTTCGAGACTTCGTGATACGAACAATGAACAGTGAATTCAAAGTTAGGGTGAAGTAGTTTACCTTATAATTAATCGAAGTGGGTGAGTCTGATGATGGAATAAACTCCTTAGACCTTTTGCTAGCCCTTTGACACCAAACCCGGACTTGGAATCTTTTGGGGAAGAGAATGGGTGCTTTGGAGATAAAAGGATTTGTGCGATTTGGGGAATTGATACCCATGGGAGTTATGAGTGTGATATGGGGCATTTAGAAGGCTGAAAAATGGTTGGGGGGGGGGGGGGGGGATATGGACATGGGAAATGTTTAAAAAATTAAAGGTTTTATTTTATAAGCGGTCCGGGTCGAGTCAGGCAAACCCTAGCTTTGGATTCACGAGACCCCGTCAACAGTCCGTGAGTCGACCTACGAATCGTAGGTCTGGTCCGTAAGTCACTCTGACACTTAGAAAATTCAGAGCACTTACTTGGGGTCTACGGATGCCATTCACGATCCGTGGATGGACCAACAGACCGTCGATGGGGTCCGTAGACGTTTGCATAACTAATTTCAGTAGATTTTGCCTTTCGCCCCTGCACACTTAGCAACCATTAGGACTTTATTTGTACATTTTTTGGACACTTTTTAGACACGGACCCTATTCTATATCTTGTCAACACTAAAACAAAAATAAAACACCTATCTAAAGAGTTACAAAATTTAAATAAAAGACGAAAACTTCTAAATCTAAAAGAAAAAACTATAGTTGGATAGAAATGCATCTTGGGTTGCCTCCGAAGCAACGCTTAATTTAACATCGCGGCACGACGCAGACACCTTGATTACTCAGACTTCATCAAGATAGTAGGCCTCAATCACTTCTCGAACACTGTCCGATTTCCCCATGTAGACCTTGATTGTTTGCCCGTTCACTTTGAATCTTATTCCCTCCATGTTCTCGAGCTCGACTGCTCCATGTGGAAATATTTGAGTGACTCGGAATGGCCCAGTCCACTTTGACTTTATCTTGCCAGGAAACAATCGCAGTCTTGAGTTGAATAAAAGCCCAGATCAGCCAAAACAAATTCATGTTTTTCAATCTTTTGATCAGGATACTTATTCATCTTCTCCTTGTACAAGGCTGAACTTTCATATTCTTTTGGGTGAAACTCATCAAGATCATTCATGTCACTCACTCTTTGGCTCGATACGGTGCCCCAATCCAAATTCAACTTCTTTAGCGCCCACATAGCCTTATGCTCTAGCTCTACCGGCAAATGGCATGGCTTCCCATATACAAGTTGGTAGGGGGACATACCTATGGGAGTCTTGAATATGGTGCGATAGTCCCATAGAGCATCATCAAGCCTTCTTGATCACGCTGTTCGGTTGGCGTTCACAATCTTTGCAAAGATTTACTTTATCTCTCTGTTTGACACTTTAACTTGCCCACTAGACTGCGGAGGGTAAGGAGTAGCTACATTGTGACATACTCCATATTTTTCGAGCAACGCTTGAACAACTTATCACAAAAGTGGGAACCTCCATCGCTGATAATCGTCCTAGATGTACCAAATTTGGAGAAGATACTCTTTTTTAGGAATGCGGTGACACTCTTCCCTCATTGCTTCCACCCATTTCGATACATAGTCAACCACAACAAGACTATACTTCATCCCATGGGAGCCCACAAATGGACCCATGAAGTCAAGGCCCCAAACATGAAAAAACTCAATCACCAATATTGAATTCTTAGGTAGCTCTTGCCTCTTTGAATTCACTCCTTCCCTTTGGCAATGATCACAAGACTTGGTGAAGTCATGAGCATCTTGATGGATGGTAGGCCAATAATACCCACACTGCAAGATTTTATGTGCAGTCTGAATACCACTATGATGCCCATCAATAGGCGATAAATGGCATGCCTCTAGTATACTCATCATCTCGACCTCGGGCACATAGCGACAAATAATCCCATTCGCACAAATACGGAACAAGTAAGGATCATCCCAAAAGAACATCTTCACATCATGCATAATTATTTTTCTTTGGTGAAATGACAAATCCGATGGAACCAGATCAATTGCCAAGTAGTTAGCAAAAATTGCAAACCAAGGATCAAGATCATAAGAAGCAGCCAAAACCCATTTGTCTGGGACATAATTAATTTTAGCCCTATTTCCTAGCTTGAGAATAGCTTCCTCCTCTAATCTGGACAAATGATCGGCAACTTGACTTTTGTCCCCTTTCTGTCTTTCACCTCAAAATCGAATTCTTGCAGCAACAATACCCATCTTATCAACCTCGGTTTTACATACGTTTAACCATCAGATACCTCAATGCAAAATGGTCAGTATGCACTATGACCTTAGTATCAAGCAATTAGGATCAAAATTTTCGAATGCAAAAACAACAGCAAAGAGTTCCTGTTCAGTCACCGTATAGTTCTTTTGAGCCACATTCAGCGTTTTACTGGCATAGTAAATCAGATAAAGAATCTTCTCTCGCCTCTGTGTCAATACCACACCAAGCGCCACTTGACTTGCATTACACATCACATCAAACAGTTGCCCCCAATCTGGTGAAATAATAATAGCCGCGGAAACTAGCTTTGCTTTCAACTCTCCAAATGCTATCAAACAAGAATCATCAAAATCAAACTTACACTCCTGTTTGAGTAGTTTGCACAATGGGTGTGCAATTTTAGAGAAATGCTTGATAAACCTCTAATAGAAACCTGGATGCCCAATAAGACTTCGAACACCTTTCACAGAGATAGGTGGTGGAAATTTTTTTATTACCTCAACTTTAGCCCTGTCAACCTCAATACCTTTCTTAGAAATTCGATGACCCAGAACTATCCCCTCTTTCACCATGAAGTGGTACTTTTCCCAATTGAGCACAAGATTGTACTCTTCACACCGTTTCAGTACCTCAGAAATGCATCAGACAACCATCAAATGAGTGACCTATCACAGAGAAATCATCCATAAATACCTCAATAGTGTCCTCCACCATTTCTAAAAATATCGACATCATGCAACGCTGGAAGGTCGCTAGAGCATTACACAACCCAAATGGCATCCTTTTGAAAGCGAAAGTCCTATAAGGACAAGTGAAGGTGGTCTTCTCTTTGTCTTTTGGAGCTATGGAGATATGATTCTAGCCTAAATACCCATCAAGAAAGAAATACCAACCCTTACCAGGAAGGTGATCCAGCATCTAATCTATGAACAACATCGGGGAAATGATTTTGTTTTGTCCAAGCATTCAATTTGTGGTAGTCCATGCATACTCTCTATCCGGTCACTGGCCTCATCGGAACAAGCTCATTTTTAGCATTAGGGACCACAGTAATCCCACCTTTCTTAAGTACACACTGAACACGACAAACCCAACTACTATCTTCAATGGGGTATATGACTCTAGCATCCAACCATTTGATGATTTCCTTTTTCACTACCTCTTGCATAGGCGGATTTAGTCTCCTTTGATGTTCGATACTAGGCTTGGTGTTCGGCATGAGTTGGATTTTATGAGTACAAATTTCAGGAGAAATCCCAATAATGTCCGCAATAGTCCATCCAATAGCCCGCTTGAACCTCTTCAACGCAGAATCCAGTGCTTCTACTTGTACCTCACTGAAATTGACTTTAATGATTACTGGTAAAGTACCATCTTTTCCCAAGAATACATACCTCAAATGTGATGGTAGAGCCTTATGCTCCAATTTTGTAGCTTCTTCCACAGATGGTTTTGCGGGTGGAGTGTGGCGATTCTTCATAGCCAACTCCAATTTCTTTGGTTTGTAACGGAATTCAAACCTATCAAGTGCGGCAACTAATTCATCATAGTCTTCAATACCACCACCCTCAAAATTCATCATTACCGCTGTCAGTGCATCAACACCCAACCTCTCTTCAATAGACACATCACAACCTCTCTCTACAATATGATTCACCACTGATATTGACTTGAGATCGCTTTCCTGCTTCATAGACCTACAGATGTTGAAAGCTACCTGATGAGTCCACGATTTGGACTCATTTACGGCTATATTTTGATGAAATTAGTGTCCTCAAATGCATGTTTTACCTTGATATTTGATATAAAAACCTTTAAGTTGAAGGTAGTTGAAGTTTGAGGGAAAGCATGAACACTGTTGAGCAAAGAAGAGCAAAAGTAGTTAAAATAACGAAGAAATGAAGATCTGCGAATCACCAAACCCATTCGGCGAATTTCCAATAGATCGCATATTCGCCTTTTGTTCTAGTGTGCTAAGCCCTGAAGGAAAGGAGCAAATCGACGATGAAAAGGAGCAGTCGGCGTATCGTCGAGTGACTCCGCGAAGCAGTGCTACATCGCCCAATTATCCAGGGCACAAAGATGCTGAAGGGAACTGATGAAAGGCGAAGAAGTACATTGAAGCAAACTATAAATACTAGTTCAGTGCTACATCGCCCGATTCTCACTAACGTCGCCGAAAGATCCTTCGGAGCACATTTACTAAAAACTATAAATACTAGTTCAATTTTTATTCTTAGCAACGAATTTTACCTTATTTGATCTAGTTTTTAGATTATTAAGTTGGAGGCAGAGTTTTAGAGATATTCTCTGTAAGTTTTGGAGAGGGTTTCGAAGAACCTGAAGTTTTCAAAAGGTTTCAAATTCAAGGAATTGGACTTGGGTCTCTTGGTCTCTCACTCTTGGCTTGTTGTAAGACTTAATCTTGCATACCCATTGATGGAAACTGATATTGGTATATCTCTTTATCTCTTTTGCATGCGTAGCTAAAACTCCAATTCTTGGGGTGTGATTTTATGAATATGGGTTAGATTAGCTGTTGGGTCTTGCTTGCTGATAGTCTATTCGTAGTTTAAATATGATTTCGTTTAGTGGTTGTGGATGAATTTGTAGTTGCAAATACAAGTTTATATATGTGTTTTCAGCTTGCTCGAGAGAGAGGTCGTAAAACTAAGACCACTAGATTGATGGCCAGTGTGAGTGGGTCGACATGAGGTTCAACTCGAGAGAGTGAACCCTAGTCCCATATCCACACACTCAGCTCGAGGGGGTGAGTTAGTTAAGGCGGAGGTTGTTGTTCATGCAGAAAGTGGGTGTCCGAGAGGAACGCATTTGAAACGGGGTAAGTTGCTCGAGAGAGAGCTTATTCCCCTTAAAGTCTAGTCTAGTCACAAATACTTAATGAATTTACTATCAAAAGCATGTACCCAATGATTTGGTCTATCCCGTATTCCTATCACATCCAAAGAATCCCATCTCCATACTTATATTTTTCCTTATTTTCACTGTTTTAGTTGTTTCTTGTTTACAAACCCCTATTTGATACTTGACGCTTGCATCACCCTTTTTAATTTGTTATGTTTTCATTCACCAAAGTCTTTAGCTATGATTAGCTTTAGCAATTTTCGCACTTAACCACTAATTCTCACGCCCACTCCCTTGGGACTCGACCCCAACCCTTGGTCGGGTTACTAAACTATTGTACGATCGTAGACACTTGCAACAAAAGTTGTGTCTTGATTACGCAAACATCATTATCTCTTCATTATTCAATCGGAATTTCATATGCCCTCTCTCCATGTCGACCAAGGCGCGCCCAGTAGCAAGGAATGGTCTCCCAAGGATGATGGGAACCTCAAAATCAACCTCACATTCAAGTATCACAAAATTCGCCAGAAAAATGAACGACTCCACTTTCACGAGGACATCTTGGAGAATACAAATGGGTTTCTTCACAGTTCTATCGGCCATGAGTAGTCGCATTGCCGTCGGTTTCGAACCTCCTAAACCCAACTTCTTGTAGATAGACAATAGCATCACATTAATGCTATCACCCAAATCACAAAACGCCTTCACAAAATGCAACAACCCAATGGTACAAGGAATAATGAAAGCACCATGATCATTTTTCTTCTATACAAGTGCCTCGTAGCAGTAGCACAACAATGTTGTAACCTCTCATCATTCTCAAAACTGACGACCCTCTTCTTAGTAACCAAATATTTCATGAACTTCGCATACCCAGGAATTTACTCCAAAGCTTCTATCAATGAAACATTGATGGAAAGCTGTTTCAACATAGTAATGAACCTACAGTATTTTCCTTCTTCAGTCTTCTTCACCAATCTCTGTGGGAATGGAGGTGGAGGTCTAGTCATGAGAACAACTTTTTGGGTCACCTCCGCTTCCTTCTCTGTAAGATTCTTAGACTCGCCAGTAACCTCAATCTCTTTATCATCTCTTTCTGCAACGATTTCAATCTCAGATGGTACAGGGGGATCAATGGTTTGTTAACCTTTGCGAGTAGTGACTTCCATACAATGTTCATCATTTTTCAAATTCTAGATGGTGTTGCTAAGAAATGTGCGAGGCTGACATGGGTTCACTGTAGTGGATAACTGATTAAACTGCTGCTCAAGTTGATTTATCGACACGCATGTGCATCAACTTTTTGACTGATTCCAGACAAGTCATTCCGCATTTCTTTCACATTCTCATCAATCGCATCAAACCTCTTCATCATCTTCTACTTCATATCCTCAATCTGTGACATACTACCCCCAACTTCTCTATTGCCAGATTCTCGATTTGCAGGTGGAACATAAGGCCTAACTCTCTCGTTTTTGTTGTCATAGTTGTTCCAGTTGTAGTTGTTGTCGCGATTGTAGTTACCATCCCAGACATATTTACTCTCTTAATTGTAGTTACCATAGTTACGACCTTGGTTTCCTTTCCCTTGGCGCCAATTATCCAAGTTAGAACCTTGGGCGTTGGCTTGAAAACCCCCCGTCTGATCATTTACCAAATAAGCATCCTCTTCATAGTAGCATTCCTCTACTGGTGGTGGTGGAGTTCTAGTTAAGTAATTTACCGCATTCACGTTTTCTGCACCTCACTCACATGCTTCAACACCAGCCCAAGTTCTGTCCTCATCTAAGCCATATCCACACGAATGTCGTCGGCAGATTGACTAGGTGCAACTTGAACTGCAAAAGTGATTCTTCTGATGTTTGACTTTCTAGTGCTCCATGCTTTATTATTTCGGGAAATCTTCTCCAATTTCTCAGCAATCTCCTCAAAAGCGCACTCACCATATGATCCTCCGACAATAGTATCTAGCACAGCCTTACCATTGTCATCTTGACCTATGCAGAAGTACTCCTTTAGTGACTCATCATCAATGCGATGATTAGGAACATTTTCTGTAAGTGCAGTGAATCTATCCCACGAACTTCTCACAGACTCTCCAGGTAGTGCCATGAAAATGTTCAGTTTGTCTTTGTGGTTTAGCTTCTTAGACAACTATAAATACTTTGCCATGAACACCTTATGCAATTGGTCCCATGTATGAATTGAGTAATATGGAAGCTCAGAAAGCCACACTGTAGCATCACTGATTAAAGATAGAGGGAAGACTCTCAAACCTATGACGTTCATATCCAACTATGGTCGTCCCACACAACTCTTGCAAACACTTCTCAACTTGGTCAAGTGCCCACGCGGATCTTCCGAAGATAGACCAGAAAACAGCCCCCTTGTTGTAAGCATCTGCATCAGATTGCTGGTCACCACAAATGTATGCCCTGGAGGTAGAGGAGGGAGAACAATAGGTCCTTCTGATTCAACTGTATTGAAGTCGACCCTATAATTATCAAGGAACCTCGGTTCTGGCATATTATTTACCCTTAAAGCATCTCCAAGTAGATTACGACGAGCGTGCACATTAACAACCCCAGGAGGCTGCAATTCAACTCCATCACCTAAATTCTCTCCAATTGGATTGACTTGGACCCCTTGATTATTCATTTTTATCAAAGGTTTGCTCAAACTCTGGATCGTAAGGGGTCAATGGTTCACCTCGACTCTGTGTACTTGGAATACACTACAGTAGAAACCTGTAGAAAACAAAAACAAAAGAAAACATAAAATTAGGAAATAATTGACAAAAGTTCAATAATGTAGTTAAACTTAATCTAAAAGCCTTATTCCCCGCCAACGGCTCCAAATTTTGATACACTCAAACTACACCTCTATTAAAGAAATATAAGCAGTCGTCGTCAAATAAAGAACCCGACTTTTAGGTTGGGGTGGATCCCACGAGTAATACGGTTCAGACTTAAACTTAGCTCACGATGATATTTGTTTTGTCAAACTATTTCCGAAACAAGTAATTAAATGGGGGTTTTTTGTAAACAAAT